ATGTTGCAGCCATGTAAGGAGATAGAAAGAGGTGGAAGTAGGAATTTCGAGAGGGCAGGTGAAGTCAATGTCAGGGACTTTAAATGGACTGAGATAGGGTACCACCACCATGCTGGCCCAAGAGGGGAGGAATAGAGGAATTGTGTCTGTCTCTTTGATGGAACTGGAAATTGGCCCTTTATCCCATACTGCATGCCTGATGCCACACCAAGAGACTTGACAATGGCCTTGCCCTGCCCTTAGGTAGCCCTCAGAATCAAGTGGACATTAAGTACCTTGATTGCAGAGACCGTCCTGGTATCCTCTGGGGCCTAACACCTGGTAAGTACTTGGGAGGTCTGTTGAATTAAAGAGAAGCCACACACAGAATTTAAAGAGAAGGAATATCAGAAACAATATCGTTTAACACTCAAGTTTGCTTTATGAGGGGTACGGGCCAAATTTGAGGTCTCTCACCATAACTCAGTCAGTCTCCTGCCCCCCATCCCCACCAAACCCTTCAGTAGGATCTTAGTCTCCTCATCTTTTAGATTAGATCAGTGGTTCTCAAAGTGCAGTCTGTGGACCCTGGGGCTCCCTAAGACCCTTTCAAAGAATCAGTGAAATCAAAACATTCCTTAATACTAAGATGGCACTTGGTTTTCCACTCTCATTCGCATACACGAGTGCAGTGGTTTTCCAGAGCCTACAGATGTGTGACATCGCAACAGGTTGACTGTGGGAGCAGACTGAGAATCCAGACATTAAACAGACACAAAAATGCAAACCACACCGCTCTCTCGCTAAATGGCTTCTGTTTTGGAAAACTTAGTTATAACTATTTGTCATAGATGGTTATTTGTAATGTAATGGTGTTTTTTTTATATTTATTGATTTCAGAGAGGAAGGGAGAAAGAGAAACATCAATGATGAGAGAGAATCAGTGATCAGCTGCCTCCTGCATGCTCCACACTGGGGATCGAGCCCGCAACCTGGGCATGTGCCCTGACCAGGAATTGAACTGTGACCTCCTGGTTCATAGGTTGACGCTCAACCACTGAGCCACGCCAGCTGGGCTGGGCTTATTATTTTTAAATGAATTAATAAAACTTTAAAGTTGACCAGTTTTGATGTCTAAGATGGTAAATATCAATAGGTAAGTATAAGCAACAGCTCTTTGGGGTCCTCAATAATTTTTCAAAGTGTAAAGGGGTCCGAGGCCACGATGTTGGAGACATGCTAAATTAGATACTGTTGCACCCAGCTTCCCACCTCCCTTTTTTATGGGAAACTACATGGTAGGAAGGTCCTACCGGCTGCCATCTCAACCAGAGAAGCATCAGAAAGTGACTGGTGTGTTCCCTGTGGGCACACACAGGAACCTCACCCAGAAATCCCACTGAGGTAATAATCCTTGGACCAGTTTTTCTGGTTTCCTAAGCTTCATTACCATCAACACTACCCTCCCACCCCAGCAGGCTGCAGGGGACGGACCTTAGAGTCCAGGGGCAGCTCGGAACCACCCAGGAAGTAACTCTACCTCTTCTGAAAAGTGAAACCAGTCACTCCACAGAGCCACAGGCCAAGAGCTTGATTAGTTTATTAAATTCACCATCCAAAATTATTTCTACAGAAAGACCCTGGGGCTTGGTGACCAGAGTATCAAGTAATAAGGTTTTTCTCCAGTTCTGCAGCCAACTAACTGGCTGTGTGACCTTAGACATTCTCCTTTCCATCTGTACCTCAACTTTTTTTAAAATATATTTTTATTGATTTCAGAGAGAAGAGAGGGATAGAAACATCAATGATGAGGCTGAGTGATCTATCGGCTGCCTCCTACATGTCCCCCACTGGGGATCGAGCCTGCAACCCAGGCATGTGCCCTGACCAGGAATCAAACCATGACCTCCTGGTTCATAGGTCAATGCTCAATTACTGAACCACACCAGCCAGGCTGTATCTCAACTTTACTCCTCAGAAAAGAAGGATCAGCCCTCCTGGCCTCCCACACATGTGCTGGAAGCACCGCTTAAACAGTGATGGTAAAGGCTTTCCTGCCCAGCACAGCGAGGACCCATCTGTGTGCTGTCATTCGGTGTTTCACGTAGTCAAACACAGTAATTGTCATTCCTCAAAGAAATGTTTTTGTTAGCTTTTCAAACATCAGCTTCAGAAAGTTACCACTACATATGCAAATCATGGGCCCAGCAATTACCTCCTGAATGTGAGGCCTGTCCTTGTGGCACCCTGGGTGGTAGTTGGTACCGAGCTAGTGTCGTTTCTCTTCAGTGACGCCACTTGAGCACCTCCTGTGCACCCGGCCTGTGCACAGCTCTGTCTCACTCCAGACAAGCCCGTGAGGGGACGAGGTGGACATGTGGGCTCAGAGAGGCTAGGGAGCATGCTCCAGGTCACCTAGCTCACTTCTAGGCCACGTGTTCAGGTTCAAGCCTGACTTCTGAGTCCGTACTACACTGTACTAGAACTTGAAAGTGCTATCTGCATTTCCTTAAAAACATTCAGAATCTAGATCTTTAAGTTAGGCTGCTTCCTGTTTCTATTGTTCTAATTTAGAAAGGCTTGAAGGCAATTTCAGGCACGTCCACACAGAACCATACTTAGAAGAAAAACATTCCTGCCAGTCTTGTTTCAAAAATCTGCCCCAAGAAAATGTTTCCAAGTCCCTGCGACCCTCCTGAGCCCTCTGCACCACAGCAGTGTGGCAGTGTGTGTGTGTGCACGCGCGGGGGCGCACGGACTTACCTGGAGGTTTGGTTCCAGAAGGAACGTGATGTCACACTCTTCCACATTTTAAAATAATCTTGATGCTCAGGATTCCAGACGTTTCAAGAGTCAGTTGAAGGACTGAGAATGCTGTTTAGTTCCCCCTGAATTAGCTAAGGGCATGACTTGTCATTGCCTTTCAGGCCCGGGACAGAAAGACGGGAGTCCCCACCCGAGAGGAACGCTGGAAGTCTGGGAGAATGTCTTTCCAAAAGACTTTCCCAGCAAGTGCCCTGTGAAGGGGGTGAGGTATTGATCAGGCCTGGACTTGCTGCCCCTGGACTTGCGCTGCCTGTGTGCCAGGACCGGAAAGGTCTGGAGGCACTCACTGTTTGAAAGAATAAAATGCTGGTGCCTAACCAGCCAGCACAGAAGTAAGAGGAAGGCTAGGGAGTCTTACTTCTGGGGGACGGACTGCCATTGATTAGCTCTCTGGCCCTGGGCAAGTGACTTCTCTGCTTCAATTTCCTCTGGAAAACAGTAACGAGAACCATCTCATGGGTTGAAAGATTAGAAGAAAAAAAGTCATCTGTTACAATTACTATTAATCCCTAAAGGATAACTTTGAAAACAAGAGCTCTTTAGAGCTTCCGTTCCAAATCCCCTATTTTACAGACGAGCATCGGGCCCAGAGAGGTTGGATGACTCGCCCAAGGCTACACATCTCCACCAACCACAGAGCCAACAGCTTTGCTTCCCTGCTGCCGGGCGCCATTCCTCCAGGGTGTTCCGTCTGGGCTGCTGTTCTCAGGAGTGCTATGACCTGGGCTGACCAGGTCCTTTTGGTCCGCTCCATTGTCGTGTCTGGGACAGCCCTTCACAGCTCACTTCCTGGGAGCTCACGCCCTCCCTCCAGACTCAGGGAATGTAACTCAGCAAGCTCTGGAGCCTTGAGTTCCCATCTATGCTGAACAGTTTCTGGAACTGGAAGCTGGCATTTTCCTTTAGATTTTGCTGAGTATCTCTCACCTCTAAGTTCAGACTGTGGACTGAATACGAGGTGGACTTAAGTATCAACTCTAAGATCTTGGAGGAAACACTGAAACCATCTCAGTGCTTAACCAAGGTTTCCAGTCTATAGGCCCTCCCCCAGAAACTTCGTCAGCCTCCCCACAGCTAACTGGAGAGGTGACCATATATGCACACAGCTTGCTGGACATATGCGATGACCATCTGAATCCCAGAAGCAGGGAACAGCTACAGTTACCATGGCTACCAAAAGCTGAGACAGTTGGCTGCTTTGGCTATGGAGACAGCTGACCTCTCAAGGTCCCTTCCAGCCCTGGGACTCTACAATTACATTGAGCCAGCTGAGGCCATGTCTGCTACAAGAAAATAGGAAGTGCTGTGACATATAAGCCTCAGGCACCGACAGCAAGGATTTTGTCAGAAATATCTTAGAAGTCACCTTAGAATTCATCCGAAGTGCTGAGTCACAAGGATACCTCTGACACATTGTTACGCAAAGCCTTGCTTTTTTGGGTATAGCACTTGAGACCTTTTACAAAGGGAGTTTGCTACCACCATGTCTAATTCTTCTTCCTCTTACAGCTCTGACCAGTCATTTTGATAGCTGTTTATTCCGTATTGTGACCAGAGAAACAGCCCAGAAAAACTTGCGTCACTGGGCACAGAGGGGCGTGCTCCTTCAGACAGGACGCATGGATCACGAGCCTTCTAAGAACAGGAGGAAGGAAGTTGCTCATAAAGGAGACAGATGCTAAACCACTACTCTGTCTTCCTCTGGCCAGTCCTCTGCCTGCAGGAGCGTGGTTCTCACTCCACAGGGCGGGTGGAGCACTCTTAAAACTTGACTACAGCAGCTCCCCACCTTCCTGAGCCAGGACAGAGCAGGGAAGTGGCTCAGCCAGCCCTGCGTCCTCCACCCCGGGTGCAGTCACAGGCCTGGCTGCACCCTTTCCAGATCCGACCTCAGGACAGAGAGTCTGTAGGTATCTCTGAGACTCCGAGAGCAGGAGAGACGCCCAGAAATCAGTGTGGCCAATGCTTATGAAAACAGCTGCCAGTCTTGCCTTATTTCTGATGGAGGAAGCTGCGTGTTTATTGGATGTTTGGGGATTTTTAAAAATCGGCTTACGTAAAGATTAAATCAAAGCCTTTATTACACATTCTTCCTTCAAACAGTCTGTAGGTATCTCTGAGACTCCGAGAGCAGGAGAGACGCCCAGAAATCAGTGTGGCCAATGCTTATGAAAACAGCTGCCAGTCTTGCCTTATTTCTGATGGAGGAAGCTGCGTGTTTATTGGATGTTTGGGGATTTTTAAAAATCGGCTTACGTAAAGATTAAATCAAAGCCTTTATTACACATTCTTCCTTCAAACAACCTGCCTAACCCCCCCCCCCCGCCCCCCGCCCAAACCTGTGAACTGCAAGGCTTCATGAGTATCACTTTCACTGGACGGGTCAGATCTAATCAGGCCACACAATACTGAAAAGCTACACCAAGACACACCACACGAGGCAAACCTCTACAGTCCGGCGCCCCACTCAGGATCTAGGCAAAAGGTTGGTAGTGCTGGCTCTGGAACCAGAGCTCAGGCACAGGAGAGCCAAAAGTCTGACCAGCCGTGCTAAGCTGGGGACCAGCTACTGGCTACCATCTGGTGAGGCTCACACATGTGCTTTTTCTTCTCTTCTCCAAAGAAAAGGATGGGAGGCAATCTTCGGGTGTGTGTGGGTTTGATTTAAGGCTTTGGCTGTGATCTGTTGATATAGGAAAATACTTCCTGGGAATGCCATCTCCTAAGCTCCCCATCGGAACCAGCGTATTTTCAAAAATGAAAACATTGAACAAAGAGGTGGAGCCGAAATGCTGGCGCAGAGCCCGTCATGTCAGAATGGTGTCATCGACCTGCTCCGTGGAGTCGGCCTGGCTGGCCAGCTTCTTCAGCGACCTTCGGTTGCACTCACTCAGCACCTCTAAACTGGCCACGTCCAGGATCCTAGAGACGGACTGTGGGGAAGACGGAAAGGGGAGACAGTCAGAAAGAGGGCCTCAGGTTTCTCCAACCAAAGACAAAAATGAGTGGTGACCTCAGAACTAGAACCACTGAGGACATCGAGGAAATTCAAGGAAACCACTCCACGCTTTCCACGTGGCGAGGCAGGGTGAGCTTTCAGTGCTTTGAAGGTTGCCTGGCAGTAGGGACTGAGTGAACAGGGATCTGGGCTCCAACAGGCAGCCCGGCTGGCATGTTCCATAGATTTGGGTGCCATGTGAGATTTTATTGGAAGAAAGGGCTCTGTTGCTAAGAGAAGTCTGACACTACAGGAAGAGAGGATGGTTTTCAGGCATGAGACCAGTCCCTGATCGCAATCTGGCCCTCCACACTCATGCATACAGGTGGGCAGGGAAGAGTGTGATGTTTAAGACGGTCATGCAGAAGATCTGCAGACGAATGCCCACAGCATGCCCTGGGAGGCACTCCAGCCCCAGGCTCCCACCTGAAACACCTCTTCACCCTGTCTCATCTTGAGGAGGTTGACAATCGCCTGGTCACTGTAGGCCCTGACAACAGTGTTTTTATCCTTGGTGTTGTCGAGAAGAGCCTTCAGGATGGGTTTGATGGCTTGGGGGTCCAGAGGAGGCAGCGGGTCCTTGTTTGCCCACCAGATCATCTTCTCAGCCACCAGCCTGATGTCACTGGATGGGTTCTGCAGACACTATGAAGAGGAACGTAGGCTTTTTAGGCAGGCGCATCCCATCTGTTTCTCCAAGAAGCCCAAACGTCCGTCCTGACACTCACTTCATCATGGAAACTGACCCCACTGCTCCCGTTCGCCGCCTTCCCTCCCATGGGAAGGTGACAGGGCGACTCCCTCTTCATCTCATGCCACTCTCCCCCCTGCTCACTACTCTTGCCCACACCGAGCTTCCACTTCCTCAAACATGCCACTTGCCTTCCTGCCTCGGACCTTTTCACTGGCTGGTCCCACTGCCTGGGACGAGCTTGCCCCACATCCTCACTGGTGGTGCCTTTGCATCCATCCTTCAGGTCTCAGCTGAAATGTCAGCTTTCAGAGGTCTTTCCTGACAGCCCCACTAGGTTAGGACCCTCCCGGGCTTTCTGTGCATCTCCAACTCCAGGGATCTTGTCTGCCCACTTATCTCTACATCTCCAGGTCCAACCCAGCAGGGTGCAAAGCGGGTTCTCAGTAAACAAATGCTGATGAACAGCTGCAAACAGGGTGATGTCCACACACGGGCTCTATCTAATCGGGCGGCAAACTCAGCAGGGTTCTGGGAGTCTGCAAGGTGGGGACCATCACCCTGCGGAACCTCACTACTCAAAGCGAGGTCCGTGCACCTCCAGCACGGTCAACGCCTGGGAGTTGGCTACAAAGGCAGAGTCTCAGGCTTGGCCACACCTCTCAAAAGGCAGTTCTGGTTCTCTTTTTTTTTTTTTGACTGATTTGAGAGAGAGAGAGAGAAACATAGATTTGTTGTTCCACTTACTTATGCATTCACTGGTTGACTCTTGTATGTGCCCTGACTGGGGATCAAACCTGCATCTTGTATGTGCCCTGACTGGGGATCAAACCTGCAACCTTGGTATATCAGGATGATGCTCTAACCAACTGCACGACCTGGCCAGGGCCAGGTTCTGGTTCTGACTTGTGTATACATTCATGTTGGTGAAGCGTGCCTTATTACACAGGCTGTGAGGCGCCCCACTATCTGGCTTCCCGGCTTATATACCCCACAAGAGCCACCCTCATAAATGCCATGCCAGCTAATGGGAGACAAGGGAAGAGATGTATTTAAATGTGATCCCAGATCTGTCCCTAGTTTTATAAAGTCGGGATGCCTAGAAAAAAATGCCTAAAATACTAGTTCTTAACTTGATTTGGGATGTCAGGTCTATTTGAGACTCTAACAAAAAGTCGGGCACTGTTCCAGAGAAAAACGCACACAGAACCACTCCCACAGCTCTCCCTGCCAGCTGAGCACCGCGGGCCTGGGCGGGGCCCAGTGTCCCTGGTCGTGGGCCTTCCCACAGCAGGCCAGCCCCTCACCTTAATGAGCAGGCTGGAGAGCTTGGCAGGCAACTGCCCTCCTGTCCCGATGTGATACTTCATCAGGAAGCCCATGCCCCGGACGCCGCTCACCGCGATGGGGACCTGTGGAGGGAGGAGAGAGCTAGGCAGGGCGGCACCCAGCTCCTTCCTTGGGGCAACGGGGCCAGGCCCCCCCATTCCCAGGAATGGCCGGGATCCTGCTCTGCACCACCAGCCTCCTCAGCCCTATACCCAAGGCTGCCCTGGCTGTGAGGCAGATGAACAACACTAGATCAGTGGTTCTCAACCTTCTGGCCCTTTAAATACAGTTCCTCATGTTGTGACCCAACCATAAAATTATTTTCGTTGCTACTTCATAACTGTAATGTTGCTACTGTTATGAACCGTAATGTAAATATCTGATATGCAGGATGGTCTTAGGCGATCCCTGTGAAAGGGTTGTTCGGCCACCAAAGGGGTCGCGACCCACAGGTTGAGAACCGCTCGTTTAGATGATGAAACTGGGGCCCAGAGAGAGCAAGTTCTGGTCTAAGGGCACAGCAAGTTACCAGAAACGGTAAAACTTGAACCATGCCTCTGACTACCCACAACCCAGTCTGGGTCCCTCCCCACACCATGCGGTCAGTGAGGCTCTGGCAGAGGAATTCTGCTAGGGGAGGGGAGGCCGTCTGCTGCCCCAACGCCTTACCCTGTCTGCCACGGCATTGCTGAGGATCATGTCCTGAACTTCGCTGCTGTATTTGCCTGCGCAGAGTCTGCTAGGAGCCACATTCACAGCCACGGAGAGTGCCAGGCTCCGTCCGTGCCGAACCATCCAGTCAATGCCGGACACGTCCGCTGGTGGAAGGACACATGGGGGTCGCCCTGCACTTCACAGCATGCCCTCCCCAAACCCTCGGGCCTGCCCCACCTCTGAGACTAGAGTGCCAACTCATCCTGGCGGAAACCCCAGCGCACACTGCACATGGGCCTCCCTGCCCAAAGTGGCATGTTAAGGAGAGGGTCTCACAAACCCCTTCAGACTTGCAGCTGTGTCCTGTGAGCAGACACTCAGGGCTACAGGAGCACTGGAAACTCCATTTTGTTTTAGCAGCTGGAACCCTGGAGAGGCTAGTGCAGCTGCCAGAAGACCCTCTGAGGGGAAGGGGAAGCACACCCACAGCTCCCCCAGGGCTGAGAGCCCCCAGGAGAAGTCCACAGCGTGCAAGAGAGACCTACCCAGCAAGCACTGCTGGAGGACTGTGCTGAGCTCCTCCTCCGTCAGAAAGGCACACAGCTCCCCGAGGCATCCGGCCGAGGAGATGCGAGTGTTGTCCTGACAGAGCAGAGAAGGGACTGAAAGGTGGTGCAAGCCGTCCCACCAGCTCCATCGTCACCATGGCAACAGTGCCCAGGACAAAGGGCAGGGAAGGAGGAGGACAAAGCAACTCGGGCACTGGAACTGCAGCCCTTCCTCCAGGCTGGGGCTGCCATTCACTACAACTGCCACTTGATGCAGAGTGAAAAACTACACCCCCAGCACTCCACTTAATTACAGAAACTCCAGTGTGGGCAAATGGTAATCTCCATCATAATAGCAATAATGACTGTATTTTCATAGCACCTTTCTTCTTAGAAAGTCTGAATGCTTGACACTATTATCTCAATTACTGTCAACAGCCCTGTGAGGCAGGGGGAGGCGTAGAGAGGGGAGGCTCCTGCCCACCCAGCTAGAGAACCCCTCAGCTCCCTCCCCCCACAATCGTGTGTGCTCTCTCTCTCCTATGTCGGTGTGCCACTGCCACCTACATTCTATTAGGGTTTTCACAGGAAGTCACACTGGAGCCACTAATCAACCCAAGGAAGATAAGTAAAGGTCAAGCATTTTCTGTTGAAATCCAAGCCAGACACACAAATGGCTCCTCCCTGTCAGCTAGTGATGGGACACTGAGCGAGTGGATTTGAGGTTCTGTGCTATCAGTAAGTGCCAACCTCCTAGGCCTCCCCCAAAACACCACCCAACCAACCGGGGACTCAATGCCACAGGGAGGCTAACGCCAGGCCGGCACCCTGGATTGCCACCTTCGATCCAGAGGAAGCTCTGAGGGGGAGGAGATGGTCTGCAGGCACTTGGGGCCTATAAGTTCCCAGCAGAAGCCCAGGTGCCCAGCAAGGCTAACGGGTTTTCTGACGCCCACTCTCTCCAACAGGATCTATTTGAAGCTGCATTGTGGTGAAATGCAAATTGATTTAAATGCTCACTTTTGCTTGCAATGTTTCTGGCCCTGTAAAAACCTGGGCAGACTATGACCAAAAGAAAGTAGTCTCCCATCTAAACCCCTAGGCAGGCTGTACTCAGACAGCAGGCGGCGGGGGATTAGACCAGACGGGAGGAGACGTGATAGGTACAACAATGGCTGGCCCGTGTGGGGCACACACAGTGGACGCGTGAACCAAAGGCCTCTCTCCAGAGATCAGCCCACAGATGTGAGTCAAACGACACAACAGAGGGCTGTTTGTCGAAGGGGAAGGAAATCTCTCATCCATAGACTCGGCCCCTTCTGGGCCTGTCACGGTTAACAAATGCCTCCAGACTGGGTGAGGACGGACCACACTAACGGAACTGTGACAGAACCAGGAGTCACAGGGCTCCGATTCTGCTCTGACTCCACCACTGGCGAGGCGTGGACCAGGCAAGTCTCACGCTCTCCAACTGTGCCAACACCTCCCACTGGGACAGACCCCAGACAGTTCCCTGAGGGCTGTGACCGCGCTTTAGTTACCTCTGGGCTCACCCTTCAGCTCAGCAAGTGTTTCCAGAACCAAAAAATGAAGCTTTATTTTACAAAAGGGGAAATGAGGGGCAGAGAGGGAGTGTGACTTGTTTAAAATTAAGAGAGCAAATTCATGAGCTATCTGGGACTTGAAAAACCTTACTTTTCTTATCTATAACAGAGTCTTGCCAGGCCAGTATCGCTCAGTGGTTGACCTCGACCTATGAACCAGGAGGTCCCTGATCCGATTCCAGGTCAGGGCACATGCCTGGGTTGGAGGCTCGATCCCCAGTAGGGGGCGTGCAGGAGGCAGCCGATCAATGACTCTCATCATTGATGTTTCTATCTCTCTCTCCCTCTCCCTTCCTCTCTGAAATCCATCACATATATATATATATATATACATATACATTAAACCAACAGAGTCTCAATATCAATACTACCTGCCTTGTGCTCACAACCAAATGTTGGTAAACTATAAAGAATGACACAAATGTCAGGAATGACTATGATTGCTGACCAGTCAGCAAGTGTACCAAGTTCTTCTAATGCAAAACGGAGATGCCAAGCACAGAAGAGCCCACCAGCCCCGCCCACCTGCAGCCGTACCTCGTCATGTCCCAGCATGCTCAGCAGGAGCGAGACGATGTTTTTCCGGATGACTGCATCCACTTTGGCCCCTGCTCCCTGGATCACAAACCTCAGGGCCTGCAGCATGGTGTCCCTGCAGAACCAATGGCTCTCCTTCACTGCTGCTCCCTCTACCAGCCCAGGGCTGCTTCAGCAGCTGCCTGGCCTCCTCGCAGCCACAGCACTCCCCTGCTGGCACCTCACCTGACACCCGGGTCCTCCATGACACGGATCCCGTTCAGCAGCTCTGTAAAGAGGGGGTCCACCTTGATGTGGATGGAAATGAGCTTGCCCAGCGCATCAGCAGCCTTGAGGCGCACCCCCCGGTTGGAGTCCTGCAGGGCTTTGGTGAAAGTGGTCTGCAGCTGGGGCAGGAAGGGCTTCAGGGCTATCCCAACCTGTGAGAAAAACCCACACCCAAGAGCACAGTGAGGTGGAGTCCAAGTGTGCCACAGGCATGAAAGCAGCTCATCACCACAGACATGAAAGCAGACCACCATGAACTGGCCCCTGGCCCAGCTCTCTCACAGGCTAGGAACAGGTATCCCGTAAGAGGGGACAGCCAAGCACAGACAGGGCATGTGCAGCCTCCTCCTCTGCTTCGACCTCCTTCACGTCACAGGAAAAAGGGAAGGGGCAGTAGGAGGAGGAGCACCCCCACTGAGGGAGCCGCCAGCTTGGCTGTGTGGAGACTTGTCCACGTGGGCAATGACTCAGAACCTCGGACTCCGAATACGTTAAGCAGCAGGCAGGCGGCGGCTGTCAGCACCACTAAAGATCGATTCTAGTGCCAAGACAGGGAAGCGAACTAGGTGCATAAGGGCAGGTACCACCAACTGAGCACTTGCCATTTACCTCCCAGAACAACCCTATGAAACAAGTGACCTCTGAAAGTCATCCCTGTACACATGGTCAACCTTCCCATTAAAAATCCAGTTTAGCCCTGACCGGCTTGGCTCAGTGGATAGAGCGCTGGCCTGTGGACTGAAGGGTCCCGGGTTCGACTCCAGTCAAGGGCACGTACCTTGGTTGCGGGCACATCCCCAGTGGGAGGTGTGCAGGAGGCAGCTGATCAATGTTTCTCGCTCATCGATGTTTCTAACTCTCTATCCCTCTCCCTTCCTCTCTAAAAAATCAATAAAATATATTAAAAAAAAAAAAATCCAGTTTAGCCCAGATGGTGTGGCTTGGGGGTTGAGCATCAACCTACGAACCAGGAGGTCACGGTTCGATTTCCAGTCAGGGCACATGCCTGGGTGGCGGGCTCGACCCCCGGTGGGGGACATGGAGGAGGCAGCCAATCAATGATTCTCTTTCATCATTGATGTTTCTGTCTCACTCTTCCTCTCCCTTCCTCTCTGAAATCAATAAAAATATAAAATTTTTTAAAAATCCAGTTTAATCCCTGACCATCTACAGAAAAGCAGGCGCACTCGTGACAAAATACAGACAGGTCCAGGACTAAGGGTTTACTTTTACTAAAAGGGAAAACCAGAGCAGCTGCCTGGAACCCTGGGGTCAGGAGTTGGCTGCCTGCTGGGAGGCTCCCTGGAACGAGGCTGGTACATCTGTGAGGTGGGAACCATCTATCTATAGGTGGCATCTGACCCGTGGTGTAAGGGACACATTCCCCCAGGGAGGCTCCATTTGTATGCAGAGTTGCAAAATCACCACAGAAAAGAATAGCACAGAAAGCAATGTAATTTTTTTTAAAAAAAGACTCAATTTTCTACAGAGTAAGGCTGGTGCTCACAATCCCACTTAGCTGGGAAGTTACTCCCCACACCTTTCTTCAAAAAGGAAAAGAAAACCTAAAAATTGTAAGCTTGCCTTTGTTTCCAAACTTCAAGTAAGAATTCTTTTCTTTCTTTCTTTCTTCTTTTTCCCCCCACAACAAATCTTGACTCTGTCTATCCGTTTTTTAAGTCTAAAGGCTTATTTATTGCCTCGAAAACCATAATGGCTGATAGACGCTATTTCATCGAAGTCCCCCATTTCACAGCCCTAAGTCAGGCAGGCGGCATCAGCAATCTCCAACTATAGGAGAGGAAACAGGCTCAGAGGTTACATGACTTTCCCAAGGTCATTGCGGCCACATAGCTACTAAGCGGTGGACCTGTAACTGAGCAGTGTAGTGAGTCTACAGTCCAAGGTCTCAGCACCTCTGCTCTGCTGTTTCTCCAGAATAAGCTGTCACTCTGCCCATGACCCTGGACCAGCCTCCTGCAGACAGATCTGGTCTCTAACATCCCCATGGACGAAGAGGATGAACCCATCAGTCGCTTACCTTGGCCAGCAAGAGGCTGAGTGTCTCGAGCAGAGCCGCCTTCACGTTCCAGCTGAACCGGTCCCCCAGGATGCGAATCAGAGGGCCGGTGATGCTGACCACGGAGGGCCTCAGGGCGTCAGCTGAGGTCAGGCGGATCACCAAGCCTAAAGCTTTGGCTGCTTCCTCTTTCTGTTCTGGGCTTCCAGTCAGGACTCCCTCCCGCAGCACTGGAAGGATGGATGTAACTCCCTGGCAAGAGAATCACATGCGAGAGTCAAATCTCCAAGGCACTGGGCCCAGGTGTCCGCCCACCAAAAGCAGGTGTTATCAGCTGCCCTCTCCATAGTGCCATGGGAGAGACTGACTCCGGCTGCCAGGATCACAGCCTGAGAGGATGCTGGCTGGGGAATAGTCTTGACTTGCTGTGGCCAGAAGATAAGAGCCCCAATTGGCCTATCACACAGGCACACGCACTGCTGTCACCTTTGTGACTCACCCCCAGCTTAAACCCTGTCCCCATGTGGCCACCACGGGAAGAAACACGCTGTCTGTGAAGGTGCAGAATAGCACCTGGAGCACGGTCAGATTGACACACAGCTGCTCCAGGCGCCCCACGCAGACCTGGGCCTGAGGGGGAGGCCGAGGAAGGCCGCGTGCCCACAGCACCCTGCACATGAGCCCTGACTTACCTTCTTTGGGAGGCAGAACCCTGGCACGTGCTCGCCTTTGCTCTCATTCCCTATGAACCGGATTTCCTTGTGGAGTTCTTCAATTAGTGCCAGCTGGTTGCCAGCATCCAGCTTCTGTGGGAAGCCAGGAAAAAGCAGAGAGGCTGTCAGAGGTAAGTACAGCCCTCTCAAGCCTGCTTGGAAACATTACAGCAGGGGGAGGTCTGGGGGAGTATAACGGAGACTAGCCATGAACGGGAGATGCTGAAGCTAGGTGACAGGTACGCAGGGGTTATGTTGGGGGGTCTAGTCTTATAATCATCTGGAACAGTCTTCAGTCAGAAGCTGGCTGAGGGGTCAGCAGGCCTGACCTTGGTGATGGCGTTCAGCGCATCCCAGCTCTCCTCCAGAACCACGGGGCTGGAGTCGTTGAAGAGACGGATCAGGCCCGAGACCAGGCTCCGCAGGTGGCTGGTGTAGTCCGCCTTCGAGCGGGAGCAGTAGATGCTGAGGATGATGGCGGCAGCCTGCCTCATGCCCACCTCAGGGCTGCGGGTGGCTTCCAACAGGTCCTCGATGATGATCCGGTGCCCGACGTCATCCTCTACCGAGAGGATCACGGCCTGACAGTTGGCCATCTCCTGAAACCACAGGGGACACCTGGGCTGAGCACGGCTCCTCCGAGGCAGGACGGGCGGCTGTTAGAAAGCCGGCGGGAGTGATCATGACACTCACCAGCTGCTCACCGGGAGTCCCCAGCTTCTCCTTCAGGGCCACCATGACCGCTGGGAGGATCACGCCAAGATGACGGGTCAGGGCGTCGCCTGCCACCGACGAGAGGAAGGCCAGCACCCGGGTATTGACGGGCGGAGTTGTCAGCTGTGGGATGATGAACACCGTCAACGCGAGGAATGCTGCCTGTGCTGGCTGCTCCAGGCTCCGCAGAGCCCAGGCCGCTCTTCAGGGCGTAGTGTCCGCTCAGGGCGTCCTGCACCCACCGCCCGCCTCCCCCAGCATCTGAGCGCAGAACCGGTCTTCCCGGCAGCCCCAGGAATGCGCTGCCTGTGGCTTCTGGGTCAGAGGGAGTTGCTGCTGGTGGGATTTACCTTGGGTACAAGGTAGGGCAGCACAACACGACTCTTGATGGCCATGACTTGCTTCAGACCGTCCAAGGCGAACTCTGACACCTCGTCATCATCCTGCAGAGGGCGATCGGGGGCAACACTGAGGCGCTGGCTCCTGTCCCCACCTCTGCTGTCTGGACCAGCCACCACCGACTTCCTTCTCCACGCTGCTCCCTCCTCCCACTGCACCCACATTCACTGACTGTCCAAGGAGAAGACAGAGCTCAATCTGCTACCACTGCACCCACTTTCCTGTGCCCACACTGCGGCTGCCTTGGCATGAGAAGGCCCCCCGAGTTTCGCGTTCTACAGAGATAGTAAAGCCAAATCGGTACGTGTGTGGCAGAGCCACTCACCAGCTGCTTCAGTAAGAATGGGAGGATGTCCTCCAGCGCCTGGTGGCCGATGGTGGAGTGCAGCTGCTCAAAGGTCTTGGCTGCCGCCTCTCTGACCTCCTCCAGTGGGTCACACAAAGCCTTCCTTGCCGTGGGCACCAGGGACTCGGAGAAATACAGCACCTGCAACAGCACGGGCACTGTGCCTGATACGGCAGAGGCAAGGAGGGAGCGGAGGCGAGGGCGGGTGGCGAGGACCTCTGCCCAGCCTGGCCACCACCACTCCCATGGCTTTCTGTGAAAACGTGCAAGTCTACAGAGCAGGGAGGATGTGTAATTTACTTGCGAAGAGTCTAAACCCACGGACCCACTAGCACCTGGTTTTTAAGGTGAGTCTTCCTGATACCCTCCATCTCTTACAGGATCCAAATTCCTCCCACAGCGAGGCCTTCCGACGTGGCCTCCCTCCCCCAACTCGCTCCTTTGCCTACCCTCTCGAAAAACCCCAAGTTCTTCTTCAAGCTGAACTCAAAAGCCTGCTCCTCTATGAAGTCCTAGGGCTACAATGGGGCCAAGGACAGCTCTGCTCCCCTTGTAACTGATTCCACCAAAGCAAAGCTCACTATGAACCTAAGGGCCAGTTACATGTCGGCCTTGCCACCTGCAAGGCCTCAGCCTTCAGGGGACTCGGTAGCTCCTCAATGAATCACAACTCTATCTGGCGACAGAATTGGTTTGTATCCTTTGCCAAATGCAAATATAAACCCCAAATGTAATACTTACACTGATACACACGGGAGAAAGAACCAGTCAATCTGGTGAGGGTGCCTTGGCTAAGTAACTGGCCACATGCTTACATTTCTGACTGGCCACCCTCTTCATGGCTGTGCTGCTTTACTCCCAATCGACAGCCTGTATACACATTCAACCTATCCCCAGGAATGTTTCGGGGGTCAATTACCCTAGAAAGTAAGGTCAGTGGAAAGGACTCCAAACCTCTTGATTGTTCTCGCTACTATGGTAACAGTACCACTGCTGGAGACAATCCATTCCCACCCACCGGGCACTTACTCTCATCTGCTCTGCTCCTTCTAAGGGTCTAGTCTTACAAGCATCTGAACTGTCTACAGTCAGAAGCTGGCTGTGGGGTCAGCAGGCCTGACCTTGGTGATGGCATTCAGAGCATCTAAGAGTAAGTGCAAGGCCCTCCTGCTCCCGCTGCCCCCACCACTCACACACGTGCATGCCCTCCTTGCCTCCCCCAACCCCCCGCTCAGGGCACCACAGTTTTAACTGAACTGATACAGAGATACAAAAGGGATTAATCTAGAGCAACCTCAAGAATGGTGAGAATAAGATCTCCAATTTCCAAAGGCCACTCAAGGCCTCGAACTTGCTTAGTTCTCAGCCAGAAAATCTGGTAGGAAGCTGAGGAGGGAACTGCAGTCCACACGGGGCCCCGCCAGCAGCACCCTCTGGAGTGAGATTCGCGTGTCCTCACATGGAGGCGCCGCTTCTCCTGCAACCTCCCCAGCAGCTCTGAGTCAGTCACCTGCAGGTGCAAGGCCTACAGGGAGCTTAGGAGATACTCACGGCATCCCGGCTGGTGGACTTCATGATCTCGCTCAGCCCAATGCACACGCCCTGCCTCTCGTCGCTCTTCTGAGACCTCAGGCCTTCCTCAAGGATGGGAATGATCTCGGGTAGGATTTTCTCCCCTAACTTCCGGACGAGATCTCCTAATGTCCGCGCTGCGATCTGTCAGCAGAGATCAGGCCAGGATATCAACTCCCTGCAAACTCCAGAATGAGGCCCTGGAACCTCCTAGACTTTATGAGTCACTGGCTTAACTTCCCCAAATGTTCTTACTCCCGCAAAGCCCCCCAGGGTGCTTGCAACACTGCATAATAAAATTATCGCTGTGTGCCTTAGGCACCTACACAACCTACAGCAAGAGCTGGCACCTCACATGTGAACAGGAAATGCAGCAAATGCTGCCTGGTCAAAGGCCAATTTCCCTGGATTGAAAACTGCAGCCTAGAAATCACTTAAACTTGTGCTTCTGCTAAGGGGACAAACTGAATTAGGAACAGATGCTTTAGGAAAAACCCCATCTGCTCCGAAGCCTCACGCAAACCCTTTAGAGCCAAATACTCAGTTTGTTTGCCAGGGAAAAGAGGTGTGGGCCAAAGGAGATGGGCAGAAGTGACTATCAGCCCAGGCTGGGCCCCTCCTCCCAACAGGAACACCGCCCCCTAGCCCGGCACATCAGCCATGTCACACCACGATGGTCTCTGCTTTCTCACTCCAGACCCACTGCCCTTTGCTCATTCCTACCATGGGCCATGTTTTTGCCCATCACAGGGCCTTTGCACACCCCGTCCTTGTATCTATAGCACGATCCCGTCTGAAATAGTCCTTTGTCGCCTCCTTACCTGGTCGGTGCTCACTCATCTTTCATCTTCAAGCACCGTTTCTCCTGAGAAGCCTTTCCTGGCCCCCAGCTGGGTTGCATGGCCCTGTGGTAAGCACGTGCAGTGCCCTGTGCACTTGCAGTAGCTGCATCTGCATCTGTCTGTGTGATTATTTGATTCACATCCATCTCCTCTACCAGTGTAGCTCCGTGAGGACAAGCACTGAGGCTGCCTTTCCTCTCCATTATATCCCAGGTCTTACACCAGCAGGTGATTAATAAGTATTTGTTGAATGACTAAGTGCTCTCCCCGTCTCCGCAGACCTGACTTTCTGGCCTCTACTAGTAGGCATCAGGGCTGTGGGGTCAGAAGCAAGGCCAAGCAACTTACCGTTCTCTTATCTGCACAGGTACTCGCCAGGAAACCCAGCAGCAGCCCGAAGAGCGTGGGCAGGATCTCACGCAGGGTGCGGGGGGTGTTGGAGACCACGATCTTCCAGACGTGCAGGGATGCTTGCCGCACAACCAGCTGGGTGTCCGAGCGGCCCATGTACAGCCCTGCCAGCACTCGGTTCCGCCGGTCCACCCCCAGGGCAGTGATGATAGCCTGCAGCCAGCACAGAGGAACAGAGAACAAGGGGAGGTGAGGCCCCCACAGCATGAGTGCCCTCCACAGAGCAAGGCAACCGACACAAGGCACGCACCTTGTTGGACTGAGCAGTCCCAAAGTTATCATCTTCAGAGGCAGTTTCCGTGGTCATCTTTCCAGTGACACCTGAGATGTGGAACAGGAGGTCCCCCAGGAGCTGAACAGAGCTGAACCTGAGAGGGCCAAGCACAGAGTCACACAGCTGCAAGGGGCAGTCTGGGGGCTCAACCAATCACCGGGCAGGAAAGAGACTGAGGAAACGCATCAGAAATATTCCAGGTGGTTATTCTGGAATGGGAGAAAAGTTACAGGCGATTTTCATGTCTTTACACTTTCCCACTTTATTTTCTTGCCAATGAACTTTGATAATGAAAAAGAATAAATACTTTTGAAAAGACTGCGTGAAAAATTCTATAATAAAAATTTTTTTAAGAGAGCACAAGTGGAAGCATTAACAGGAAATCAGGAATGCTGATCATCAGAACTGGAGGCATCAGAAGAGGCCTAGAAGGATAAACTTCTCTTCAAATTAAGTGAGGTTTGCTGTTCTTAATCATCATAAAAAATAATAGTCACATCCAAACGTAAAATTCCAAAATACAGAATAATATGAAGAATGCGAGTATAAACAATCATTCAAACCCCCACTACTCAGGCAACCGTCCTGACACTCGGTGACACCTTTGCATAGGGCGCCCTCTACAAAGACACGCACACCCCCACACAGTGTCGGCATTGAGTCCACACCACATGCGCTGGGCCACAATCTACCTGTGATGTCAGCTAGAGGTTGAGGAGCTTCCTGTGTCAGCTGATAAAGGTTCTTTACCATTCTTTGTAACGACTGGTAAGTTCACTGTATGGATGTGTCATCACTTTTTAAAACCAACATCCAATTTTTCAAATGGTAAAAACAATACTGCAACAGAGAGCCTTCTACCTACATCTTTAAGCACTCAACCAAATCTGTCCTTGGAATAAAACCATAGAAGTAACATTTCCATATTAAAAAGTATTCAAGCTTAGATTGTAATACAACTAAAGGACTGACTAAAGAGAACTTTTTTAAAAAGAGAAGACATTGCTATAGGAAACTAGAGGGTTACAAAATGGTTAAAAGTGAGGATCTGGAAAAAGTTGAGAGTTCTTGGCATCGTTTTGTTTATTTCTTAGAGTTCCCAAAATGCAAAGCTGGGTCTTTCCGCCCGAGTTCTCACCTTATTCTCCAGAGGTCGTCAAAGAGGCCTTGCTCCAGCTGGGGCAGCAGCAGGGCGATGGCTGTCTCGGCATACATGGAGATGACCCGCTGGCCCGCACGCAGCGCGGTATCACGCACAAACTCGTTCTCATCAGCAAGAGCCTGTGCACACAGAGCGGGGGTCAGCCAGGGCTGCCTCCCCACCCTTCCCAAGGCACCCAGACCCAAAAGGAGATGGGACTCCCTGGACAGCAGGAAGAGGACGCCTCCCACCCAGCCCCGCCAGCCAGCAGCCCTAGCAACCCCCCAGGGCACATGCATCCCACCCTCCTCAGTACGCTCTCCTGGCCTGGGCAGCGGTGCCTACTTTGAGGATACAGGGGATGATGGGCCCCACGTAAGGAGTGAACTTGTCCCCAAAGGTGATGGGCAGGTAGTTGAACATCATAATGTAGCCATCTCGGACGTGGGGTGCAATGTCCACTTTGCTGGCTGTAGCCACAATTTCTGGCATCAGCTTCTCCAACTTCTCCACCCCTAAGCCAGCCATGACCTCGGCCAACCCTGCAACAAGAGACAGAATGAACCCACTGGCTCTGAGGCCCCCAGAGGGCATTTCTGGGCGGGCCCTTGGGGCCTGCGCTGGCCTCACCTTGCGCAGCGCCTGAGCGATCCACAGAGCTCTGCTCATAGGTCAACGTCTCCATCAGCCACGGCAGCAAGTCCTCGAAGCACGACTCGCCCATGCCCTTCACCATGGCCCCAAGGGCCTTTGCAGACACTGTCCGCACCTGTCAGGTAACCAACAGCAGGGATAGGGAGGAGCTGAGGGCTCAAAACTAGGTGACCAGGCAGGAGCAATGAGGGGTCCCTCGGTCTCCTTTCCTTCACCAGACAAACACAAAATTCTCAGGGATGAATTTTCTGGAGACTGGGCTAAAATAAGAAGCTCTTGCCTCCTCCCCTCCCAGACTCACCTCAGGTACAGGGTCCAAAAGAGAGGCTTTCAGGCCAGGTGTCACGCTTGGCAGGTACGGAGCCAAGTCCTGCAACAACACAAGCAGAGACGCGGGTTGACTCCTGCTTCTATGGGATCGTCCTCCTGTGGACCCTGACCTCGCCATTCTGCTGACAAGGAGCACTTGGAAGGGGTGCTCCCCGAACAAGGAGGGGAAGGGGAAACCTCCAAGGGACCCGAGGCCACCTTCAGGAGGGCGAGAGAGCCACCAGCTAGTGCAGTGCTCTTACCCCTCCTGCCCTCCTCCTAGGACCAAGGCCGGCCCAGCCTCTGGGATCTTTAGGAAATTATTTCTGCATTTTCCTTTCAGAATTGCAATATCATCTTCCCTTTCTTCACCTTAAAAGGTTTATGTCTCTTAATATAGCATTCAGCCTTAGGGAACAGTTTTAAATATAGAAAAAGCCTTATGTTCACAGCAGCAACATTTAAAATGGCAAAAAACTCTGGTTACTATATGACCAACGACAGGATTACATAAGTTATAGTACGTAAACTTATTGGAATATTACACAATTATTAAAATCAGTTTTATGAATAACTCATTATAACTCGGAAATAAGTTGATGCTCAGGAATATAATTTTTAAAATGTAATAAAGAACATTAAGAGAAATTGTTTTAGTGTTGGAGGACTATGGATAACATTTTTTATTTTTTCAGTTTTTCAATTTCCCAGATTTTCTAGGATTGCTATAACCTTCCCACTTTCTCTATTGTGCCCACAGCTCAGTAAAGCAAGCAGAAGTGAGGTAGATGGAGAGATCACACAAGCAAGGCCTCAGGAACAAGGAAGCAAACAAACAAGATCAATCTCCCCTAATTTCCCGAGAGACTTACAGAAGCAAATGCTTGACACAAGAAAACACTGCAAGCAGTCAAAGCCTCAGCCACTTTCCCCACACTCCTGAAAGGTCAAAGGTGAGGTTGGACCTTTCCTGTACCCCAACCTGTAAAAGGGGCCCACTGGGAGGGGCCTCACCTGAGGACTGGGCTAAAGAGGACCCAAACGCTACTCTGCAAGATGCCGAGAGAACCTACATTTCCACCCTCCACGCCACAATGGTCCACATCTGCCCCAAACACAATCAGGGACCCAATGCATGTGTGCTCCACTCCCGCGTCTCCTGTGCAAGGACTCTGTGCCCCAAACCAGCATCTGCTGGTCTGTCCTTGCCAGCCCCAGCTAGGCTGCTACCTTCTGGTCGGTCAGGGAGTACATGTTGCCAATAATCTGGGCTGCCATCTTCCGCGTGTCCGTGGAACGGTCCTGGAAGGCTCTCTGGACAATGGGCATGATGAGGGCCAGGGACGGGGCATCAATGAAGTGGACAAACTTGGTGTCCAGGAGGGTCTGCAAGCACTTCTGGGTCTTCCTGGAAGGGTCCGTCAGGGCATCCAGCAGGACGGGGGCAATGGCTGCATATCCAAACAGAGACAGGGATCGAGGAGAAGGGAGTCAGCGCAACTGCTCCCTGGAGCCTCACAAGTCACCAGCTTGGGAAGCCAGTCTGTCTGCGAAGAGCAATCCTTGCTCCAACAGGAGGGACTGGTTGGAGGCGACAGCTGTCACCTCTCTGCACTGCAAAGCTGTGCTCTGGTGGAGTCCCTGTGGGCAGGCTTCCATGGGTCCTGAGCTGCTGGGCCTCCACTGAGAGAGCTGCTCAGGCACCATAATCCCTATTCTGGAAGCAGCAACCCAAAGTGGTTTTGTGAAAAACTGGGAAAACAAAGGCCCCTGAACCAGTGAGGGGAGTGAAGCACCCCACGCTCAGAGCTGCTAGGCCCAGATAAAATGAGCTCTCAAATTCAACACCATCAACCCCGCAGAAGTAATTCCAAGAGGAAAACCTGGTTTACCTTTTCCATAAGCCCAGGGAATTCAACCACTATAAAGCCCCAGGCTGGTGGTCAACAATTTAAAAAAACTAATAATCCAATTTAAAAATAGGCAGAGGATTTGCACAGTTCTCCAAAGAAGATATGCAAATGGCCAATACGCACACGATGTTCAACATCATTAGTCATTAGGAAAATGCAATCAAAGTCAATGAGATGCCACTTCATACCCACTAAGATGGCTGTAACCAGTGCTGGTTTTGCAGACAATAGGGTGCTGGCAGCTGGAATTCTCAGACACTGCTGCTGGGACTGTCAAATGGTACAGCTGCTTTGGAAAACAGTCTAGCAGTGACTCAAATAGTTAAGCAGTTACTATAGGACCCAGCAATCCCATTCCTGGTATCTAACCAAGGGAACTAAAAACATGTCTATAAAAAACCGTGTACCCAAAGGTTCACAGCAGCACTGTTCTTAACAGGCAAAAAGAGGAAACAACCAAATACCCATCAACGAATAAACAGATAAACAAAATGTGGTCCATATATACAACGGAATATCACTGGGCCATAAAAAGGAATGAAGTACTGATACAGGGTACAACATGGGTGAACCTTGAAAACATTATGCTAAGGAGCCAGACAAAAAAGGCCACTTATTGTATGATTTACATGAAGCGTCCAAAATTGGCAAACCCACAGAGACAAGAAATCGATCTGGCTGGGGCTGGGGGAGGGGAGAAAATGAAGAATGAATGCCAATGTGTATGGGGTTTCTTTTGGAGGTGATGGAAAATGCCCTGGAACTAAAAAGTGTGATGCTCACATGTAAAAACCACTGAACTGTACATTCTTTTTTTTTTTTTTAATATATTTTATTGATTTTTTACAGAGAGGAAGGGAGAGGAATAGAGTTAGAAACATCAATGAGAGAGAAACATCGACCAGCTGCCTCCTACACACCTCCTACTGGGGATGTGCCCACAACCAAGGTACATGCCCTTGACCGGAATCGAACCTGGGACCTTTCAGTCCACAGGCCGACGCTCTATCCACTGAGCCAAACCGGTTTGGCATGAACTGTACATTCTTAAAAAGTGAACTTTATATTACGCAAATTATATGTCAATTAAAAAAAAACCCACCAGGTTGGATTCTCAGAATAAAGGAACTTCTAGCCCTAGCCGGTTTGGCTCAGTGGATAGAGCGTCGACATGAGGACTGAAGGGTCCCAGGTTCGATTCCGGTCAAGGGCACATGCCCGGGTGGGTTGTGGGCTCAATCCCCAGTAAGTGGCGTGCAAGAGGCAGCTGATCTATGATTCTCTCTCATCACTGATGTTTCTCTCTCTCTCTCCCTTCCTCTAAAATCAATAAGATGCCCCCGGAAAGATCGAGACGGCCCTGGTGAGGTCGAGACTGCCCTGGTGAGGTTGGGACGGCCCTGGTGAGGTCAGGACAACCCCAGTGAGGTTGAAACGGCCCCGGTGAGGTCGGGACGGCCCCGGTGAGGTTGGGATGGCCCCGGTGAGGCTGAGACGGCCCCGGTGAGGTTGGGACTGCTCCAGTGAGGTTGGGACAGATAATGGGGACCAGTATAGACTGATGAACAGGGGTAGATGCAGAGGCAGACCAACATTGAACAGACTGTCAAACTACAGTGGGAAGCCTGGGGAAGGTTTGGGGGGGGATTAAGAGATCAACCGAAGGACTTATATGCATGCATATAAGATTAACGAATGGACACAAGACACCAGGGGGGTAGGGGCCGGGGTATGTCAAGGGGAGGGAAAAAAGGCATCATATGTAATACTCTTTTTAATACTTTAAGAAATAAAAATTATTAATAAAAAAAAATCAATAAAAACATATTTTAAAAAAGAAGAAGAAAGGAACTTCTACCCATTCAGTAGAGATGAGACTGTTCCGGGCCTTGCCAGTCCCCAAGGCTGTTAGACATTGTAAAAACCAACAAAATCCAAGTACACCTATTAATCTAAAAAACAAAAATTCCCATAATTTTCTGAACAAAAGAAAAATCTAGTTATACCTGGGCTGAGCTACACTGAATGGCACTGAGGCTCCAATGCTGAAGCTTAAAATTTAACATGTGAAGTTTACAATTTAACAAGGTAGCTGGCTAGGTTTTATTTCTAGAAATCAACCTCTTCCCAACACTCAAGAATGAACCACACTAAGAGCACAGTTAAGGGGAATAACTGTCCCTTACCTTCCCCTCTATCTCATGTCTCCTGGAATGAGATCAGAAAGTTCCCGAAGATCCTAACACATCGGATGATACTGAGATGGTCTGAGATGGTCCAGAGCTTGTCAGTCAATTCTGTTGACCTCGGACTCAGCTTAGCACACAGAGCTCTCTGTCAAGGTGCTTCTGAGCTGCTGACTCAGTTTCCCTACCTGTGCAGTCAATGACAACTGCTCCAGACAAGCAGGAAGACCCACCACTTCCTAACTACCATTTAGTCTAGGAAAAGAGCTTCCAGAATTTAGAGTTTCTTTCACTGTGAACTTATCCTCAGCATGTTCCCTGCAGTGTCCAGGGACAGGAGGAGGAGCAGGGCCACTGCCCACTGTGCGAGAGGCCTACCCAGGATCTCCGGGTTCCTGATGACGGAGCCAATCTGCCTGAGCGCCTGCTGTCCGGCCTTCTGCACTTTGACGTGGGAGTCGGTCAGCACCTCTGTGAGCTTGGGCACGATGTTGGGCAGACAGGAGGACAGCTGCTTGGGAGCACAGTAAGCCATTGCCCCAAGCAACTCCACCGACCCTGCAGAGGCAGACACACGTCCGGTGTAGAATCGCTCAGTACAGGCCAACAGTCACCTGGCTGCTGCCAGGCAAGGGACAACCAGCCTGGTCCTCTGCAGGCTGTGCTCAAGCAGTCCCCCGGCAGAGGGTAGAGGGCAGAGGGCAGAGGGCAGAGGGCAGAGGACGGCATCCAGCAGAGCCCAGGATCAGGAAGACCTGGCTTAGTCCTGGCTGTGATCCAAGGCCAATTTACTGCATTTCTCTGGCCTCAGTCTCCTCAGCCACAAATGAGGGAACTAATTTTGATTTGTGATTTTTCAAACTGCAGGGCAAAGCCTGAGGGACCCAGGGGAAAGACACCAAGTGCAAGGGGCCCAGACCTTGACCTTCCGCAAACCAGAGTAGCTCTGCTTAAATCTCTTGCATATTAGGGTCACAGATAAGATTACATTTTAAAAAAGGGTTTAATGGGGAGAAAGCTTTAAAAATCACTAAACTAGCCACAGACAAGCTTTAAAGCTCGGGATTTCCTGATTTAGGGCTGCATCTTCTGTCAGAGGCCTGCTCTTTGCAGGTAAGCAAAGCATACCAGCTACTGAGGGACTGGGCTGCCCAACAGCAGTCTTGGCCTTATCATCTCTGGGCTGGGAAGCACACACATGGCTACCTGGGACCCCTTGAGGGCAGTGTTTGGGACAGGAAGTTGGGACAAAGGCACGGAAGAGAGTGGCCTCACCGGCTTTGGTCCTCCAGGATTCCTCCTCCAGGGCAGCCAATAAGGAGGGGAGCACTAGCTTCACCCCGTGAGCACTCAGGTTGCTCATCACAGCTTTGGCACAATCATCTGCAGCCTCAAGGAGGAGAAAAAACGTTCAGGGGCCTCCTCACCCAACCAAGGATCAAGGCCTGACTCTAGACCAAGTCTTCCCCCCGGTAACCAGCACTTACTGAGGAGTCTCCTGTGTCAGCCCCTGTGCGACATGGTTTCTCATCTCATAAAGCTTCAGTAATTTACAGGGAATCAGGGGAGTCCAGACCAATAACTGGGGCCCAAGGTACGGTGACGTGGACCCCATCAGGGTGCACACTAGATCTGTTAGTGGGGCTTTACACCACCTCAGCCTCCCTGCTGAGTCTCACAGCCGCGGCCAGCAGGTCTCATGTGCAGCCTCAGGACTTACCTCACGTACATACTGGTTCCCATCCCCGAAGCACAGCAGCAGATGGGGCAGCACGTGAACCACGTACGGCTCGAAGAGCTTCCCCAGCATGGTGCAGAGCATCTCGAATGCGAAGAGGGCTCCTGGGGAAGAAGGTGGACAGCTGGGACAACGTCCCTGCAACCTCCTCACCTTCTGGAAACACTCGGGGCAGCTGTGGGACTGACGTGGCTGCCCCATGAAGCAGCAGCACCCTCTGCCTCCCCCACCAGCACAGACATGGCTGAGCAGAAAGGGAAGGAAATCCATCCATGACTTCTTGGCACTAACAGCCAGAAAGGCAAAATCTCTCTCAGCTAAGGATACTGCTGACTTAAGCGAGGCCAGGCCACAACAGCAAGGCCCAGATAACATGAGTCACACACAGCTGTCCCTCTGTAGTGCAAACACCAGCCCATCGGAGGGGAAGGAAAGGCCAGAGTCCTCCCTCTGGCAGCCTCGGGGCCTGAGAGACACTCACCCTCTCGCCGGCGGAAATTCTTCTTATCCTGGATGGCATCGGTCAGCGCTGCCATCATTTCCTGCTGCTTTAGCGACAGAATGCCCAGGCCCTTCACCAGGCCCGCCAGCCCGTACGCGGCCCCCCTGCGCTCGGCATACTTGTCCGACTCCAGCAGCTGCTGCATAAGCCTCTGGACCATTGCTCCCGCATCCTCTCTGACAGCGGGCACGAGGGGCGGCAAGCAGCTGGCCACGGACTCCTGGACCTAAAGGAGGGGCCTGCCACGTCAGGAACCACAGCCTTTCCTGGGGGCTGGCAGTCCTACACAGCACCTCCCCACTAGATGCCCCAAGCCCCATCTTAGCCACTGTCTGTCAGACAACAGAGTGTCAGAAAAGCAGTGTTACGCATTCACGTGTGACGTGGACCCCTTTAGGGTGCACACTATATCTGTTAGTGACGACAGCATCAGCCATCACGGTACTCTTTCTGGTCTAAAGGGAGAACCTGCCCTAACCGGTTTGGCTCAATGGATAGAGCGTCGGCCTGTGGACTGCGGGGTCCCAGGTTCGGTTCCGGCCGGGGGCGTGTGCATAAAATATATTTAAAAAATAAAAATAAATAAATAAAGGGAGAACCTAGGTCAGGGTGGGTGGGAAGCTCCAGGAAGACTAAACCCACTCACAGAATAAGATCCAGGAAAAAGCACGCTACTGTGCCTCCATAAAAATGGCCCACGTCTCCCAGTTGTCAAACTTAGCAAAGTGTCATGCTACCTGGGCCGAGGCAGGACCTTCGCATGTGTGGCCTGCACTTGATGAGGACATTCTAGGTAGTCCAAAGTGTAAGCTGCAAAATGTATAAATGTGTTTTTAAAAATAAAAAAAAGTCTTGCACTGTGGCTTGGAGGCTGCATTAAAGGGCCCCTGAAACATGTAACAAACATGTAGAGAAGGTCAGAAAAAAACTTGACACAAGAGGCAGCCACTTTGTGTTTTGTTTAAATCTTGGTATCCCCAGTGCCAAGTTTATACTAAATGAAAAAATAAAAACACACCAAACAACCGTTAGAAAATGAGTAGAAAAGAATGAAAACATCTAGGATGTCTACCAGAACAAATAACACAGTAATTCCCCGCTTGGAGGTGCTCTTCATTCTAAGCCAGGCTGTCCCCTAAGAGAGGGGACAAATTCTTGCAGAGAGCTGGGCCTTTGGGACCCTGATACCCAACTCCCTAGGATCCCACTGCCTCCCCCCAGTCATGTCTCGGGTGGCAGGTACCTGCTGGGAGGGGGTGGAAAGGGCAGCAATGAGCTTGGCAACGATGGGCTTCACTTTGGGGTCACTCTTGTCCAGGTGCTTGGCGAGGGAGCCCATGAGGACCACCACACTCTGCCGCACAGCGTCATAGCTGGCATCGTTGGGCGCATTCTTCAGGAACTCCTCGAACACCGGCAGCAGCGAGTTGACGTTTTCCTGGAGAGCACCCAGGGCTCACCTCCACCCCACAGGCTATGTCTGGGCTGACAGTCTGCCCGAGGTCCAAGCCTGAATCTGCTGGAACAGCTGCCCTGACAAGCCCACCAAGAACGCCAGCGCCTCCCAGTTTTCTGGCAAGACTGCAGCAGACTTGTAAGAATTTAATTCCCTTTTGGGGTCGTTTTTGGTTCAAAATAAATACAAATGGAATTTTCCATGGGCAAGTGATGTGCAGGATTTCCGGCACTCGGCCTCCCTGTCACCATCGCTCAGCTCAGCCTTCTCCCCAGCCCCTCAGTGGCGGAAATCTTTACCTTCCCGTGGGCGTTGAGTGTCGCAAGGGCCGCATCTAACATGCACTTCCGGACATCAGGGTTTCGGTCGTTGAGGGCATCAGGGACAAAAAACTGAAAGAGTGGCTTCACCTGAGAGCTGTCCAAACACTGGGAGAGCTTGTTCAGGGCCAAAGCCAGGCCACACCTGGGAAAGCAATGGGAGCGTGTCAGGGAGGCGAGGGCTGGCCAGGGGCCGCCTCTGCAGCTGGGATCTGCTCTGTTAGTCACAAGGAGGGAATCGCCAACAGCAAGTACCACTTTGCAAGGCAGAGCACAGCACAATCCCACTGCCCAGGGCTTACCCACTGATCTACACAATGATCTGGAGCAGCCCACTTGTCAAATAGAAACCTGCCATCTGCTCAGAGTTTTCCTCCCACAGGATGACCAACTCTGCCTCTGTTTCCCCCCACGAGTGCAATGCCTACCCCATTACCTCCAGGGCAGGTTATGAGAGAAGAGAGGTAAAGGAATCGGATCTGAAGTCACTCGGAAATGGACATATTCTACAAAAGCAAAGTGCTACTCTTCTCTTTAGTTACAGAGCAGTAAGGCGGTCCCCAAGGACCCCTTAGGACCTGGAGGCCTGGAGGAAAGGAGAGACGGGCCCCGGCCAGTGGCCAGCATGGAGGAAGCCAGCACCTGAATTCCGGTCTCTGACTCTGAGGGAGGTCCTATCCTCTCCTCCCCTGTTCAATTAATCTGTGATGCCTCCTCACATCACCAGCGCAGCCAACCTGCTACCTCTCAGGCAGCTCTGAACAGAACAAGACTGAACAGCTGTCATACCTGGCTTCCCACTGATCTGGAGGAGATTCTGAGATAACTCGTCCCAAAGCATCCAGCACTGGGGGCGGCCGCTGCAACAGACAGTTGACAGATGAGCTGCAGTGCTCTCCCCAACAAGCCGGGCAAGCCAGTGACCCGAGTGTGAGGCTGTGACCAGTCACAGCCACCCTGAGCCACAGTGAGCTCCAAGACTCCTGTCTGGAGCAAGTCCGAGGCTAAGCAGAGTCTGACCTACCCTCACACCACCCAGACTGCCCAGGACACATAGGCTACTCACATAGAGCTTCTCCTGATAAATCTCCATGAGCCTGCCCATCACCTCGGCCGCCTGCCGCTGGTACCGCGCCACGGCCTGGGAGAGGGCTTCAGCCCCGGCCTGCCTCACAGCTGCCTCGTGGTAGATGACATCGTCAATCAGCAAGGAGCAGAGGTCTGGCTGCAAATCTAGGCCCATCGTCGACCAGAGCCTACGCAAGCCAAAGGGTGGGGCTGGTCAGACACGGATCTATAGCACCTGCCCTGGCAAACCCAACCACCCAGCCCTTCTCTCACTGCAGGCTGAGCACACTGGGCTCAGTCATTCCCTAAGAGGGCTCTCACCTCTCAGCCAGCTTCCGGATCTCCTCCTCCTTGTCAAACTTGACCACCCAGAGCCTCCGCAGAAGATTTAGGCCATTCTTCTCGTCAGTATCAGGCGTTGGCAATACCATGTGGAGTTCCATCAGCCCCTGCGAGGGTGTAAGATTGAACCATGTGAGGCGCAACCTTTCAGAGGAGCCCTGACTTGCCTCCTTGCCTCCCTCTAGGGCTATAGCCACGTGTGGGTCTTCAAAGTTAAATCAATTAAAATTAATTACAATTCCTTATTGTATCAGCCACATCTCAAGTGCTCAATAGCTACACATTGGCTAGCAGCTACAGCACTGGACAGCACAGACCTATTTCCATCACCGCAGGACATTCCCCTGGACATCACTGGTCTAGGGAGTGCTGTGAATCAGCTCAGCTCACTAGCATCTCTGTCTCTTTAAATGGCTTTTCTTGCCGCGACCGGTTTGGCTCAGTGGATAGAGCGTCGGCCTGCGGACTGAAAGGTCCCAGGTTCGATTCCGGTCAAGGGCATGTACCTGGGTTGCGGGCACATCCCCAGTAGGAGATGTGCAGGAGGCAGCTGATCGATGTTTCTCTCTCATCGATGTTTCTAACTCTCTATCTCTCTCCCTTCCTCTCTGTAAAAAATCAATAAAATATATTTTAAAAAAATAAATAAATAAAAATAAATGGCTTTTCTTTTGTGAAATGATGGTATGTAATAATAGACTCTTTCTTAATGTAAAACTTAAATATTTAACTAAATATGCAAGACAGATTAAACCTCAAAAAAAGGACAATCTCTTTGTTTTGTCTTTAAGGACAATTTACCATACTGCCATCGTTTGCCAGATTCTACCAAGGACCAGTGAAAACTCTGTCGCCGGTCAATAGGGAGCTACAGACTGGCATTTGGGAACCACTGTCTCATGCTCCCGAGGGATCTTTTAGTTTTTGGTCCAAAAATACCAAAAAGCCACGTACAAGCTGGTGGGATAAAGAAATGAACTAATCCTATGAGTTATAGCTGTCCTATAAAAGTACCAAGATCCACATTCCAGTTTACAAATCAGGTGAAGTCTTCCAAGGTGAAGAAAAAATAAGACAGCCACACAGCAAAACTGTCCCGTCGCTCCAATTCCTAGAACGAGCCGACCCACACCCTGTGACCTCTTCTCTGTGCCTCCAAAACACACTGTACAAATCTGAGGCATCTCCTCAGCTTAAACACTTGCACTAGGGATGCCACGGTGGCCTCGAGGGGAAGTGAGCCCGCACCCGGAGCGCGGTGTCCCGCACGCTGTCACACGGGGACTGCAGGGCACAGAGCAGCACGTCCACCGCCTCCTGCTCTGCGAAGGCACAGCCATCCTTGCCACTGCTGCTGGCACACAGGGCGGTCAAGGCGTTGGAAGCCAGAACCTAAGGAAAACATTGACACACTCGGCTCAGTTCAGCAAACTGTTTACTCCTACAGAGTCAGGCAGAGGCCAGGGACCCAGAGAGGGGTTTGAATTGAGAATGCCCACCCCAAGCCACAACAGCGCTAAGACCCCAGCACTGGTCAAAACCAGGGGCAGGACCCTTCACTAACTGAGCAGTCAGGCTGGCTCTCAAAAGCAGCCCTTCTTTCTGCTCAAGTCCAAAGGTTGAGGGCTGAGAAAGGGAAGTAGGACTCAACCCCAAACACCGGGACCTGTGGTCAGGGTCACAAACTGAGTCACAGCGACAGCCAACTGAACCCCAGATCACCTGCAGGCGGGGAGAGCTCGTCCCGATCACCCAAGTCAGAAGGCGCAGCATGGCCACGCGAGGCAGCAGCTCCGGGCCGTTCTAGGAGAGAAGAGCAGGTAAGTCAGGTGAGGTGAGGGGATAGGCTGTAACCAGGCCCGGTGGCACGTGAAGCCACAGCAGAGCATTCTAGGTCTTTTGGCCAACTCTCCTGTAGGAACCCCATCAGGCTTACAACTGAACCCACACTAGCCAACCCCAGTGAACCATGATCCTCAGGGACTCAAAATTAAATTCATTCTGAAACTTGCTTGAAATTCACAGGATATGAAATACAGGTGTCCCATAAACATATGGATACTTAACTTTACAAGTCAGTCAAGAAACGCAAAATAAAAGGAGATCCCATTCTTTCACTCATTGTTGGCAAGATGAACATTATCTGAGGCTGCATTCGCTTTGGAGAAAAGGGAACTAACTCCTAGTGAGGATGGAGCTCAGAACGTACCACATCACCGAGCAATTCCACGCCCAAGAATCTGTCCCTATGGAAATGTTCACATGGGTGTGCAAGAAGCATATACATAGAGGTCACACCACTGTGCAGTTCAAAATAAGGCAAAGTTGGAAACAGCCTTATAATACGCATCACAGGTAGAGTCATCACTAAAACATAGTGCACCCACAGCACTAAATCCCATGCAGCCTGCAAAATCAATAAAACAGACCCACAGGCACTGACATGGAAGGAGACCCAGAGTATCTGCTTTAGGGGGGGGGGGGGGGGGGGGGGGGGGGGGGGGTGAGTTCTGCGTGTGCATAAAGAAAGGCCCACAAGGGTATAACCATTACCTCTGGAAAGTGGCAATTTTTTTTTCTTCTGTATTGTTGGAATTTTTAAAAATATGCATGATTGCCCTGGCCAGTTTGGTTCAGTGGATAGAGCATCAGCCTGCGGACTGATCTCTATCCCTCTCTCCCTTCCTCTCAGAAATCAATAAAAATGTATTTAAAAAAAAATATATGCATGATTTTGGCAAACTTTTAGAACATAATCTATTAAAAAGATCCAATCTCATAATCGTAAGTCAAAGGGAAAGTGGCCAGTGTTATCTTCTGAGTTAGAAATACAACAAACACAATAAACTAATTCAAAATCCTTCAACTTCTTTGGGTTAGAAACTCAAACAGGAGTGTGGAGACCTGTAAAGAACATTTGGGTTCTCCTACCAAAAGCTGCTACTGTATAAGCACACACTCCAGGCCCCACCAGAACTACTGATGGGCCAGGAAGTGTCGAAAGCCCCTGCCTCCCAACCCCCTCCAGCCCAAGGGAGAGCTAAGGTGTCCTGCCAACCTCGTCCACGCGCCCAGGCGGGTTGCTGGGTGAGGCCCTCAGCTGGGCGTGGACAGTGAGGATCTGAAGAATCTGAACCATGCGCTCCTCCTCCTCCTCACTGTGGTGGGGCATCTCGGTCAGCACCATCTTCAGAAATGGGAAGACGAAGGAAAAGGCTGGCGCGGACAGGGGTGCAGCATCTGTGAGCAACAAGCAGACATGATCCTGCAGGCAGGGCAGGGCACTTGTCACTGCTGCCTGTTTCCATCCTCAGGGCAAATGGGCAGGGGGGAAAGCTAGAGGCCCTTTCTGACACTCAGAAGCACACAGTATGACAGCAGGGATGAAAGCCAAGCCTGCTCCCACCCCAAACACTGCCCAGTTCCAGAACGTGAGTTAAACAGACAAGTCTATTCCAGTGACAAGAAGTGAACCCTCAATGGGGTTACAGCAGCTCACAGACCAGGACTGGACTCAGAAACCCTCCACTGGTCCAACTCCCCCCACCCCGTTTTTCAGATCGGAAACCAAGGCAAGGAGGGCGGAGACTCGCCAATGGCCACAGCCTCAGGAAGCCCAGGGGATGAGGCAGCTCACACACTCCCTGCACCAGCTCATGCCACCGAGTGTCCTTTGCGCCGCCCTTACCTGGCTCACCCTTGCGCACCGTGCTGGTGATGGTGTGGCTGTGCAGCAGGGTCACCGCCCTCTTCACAGCCACCGACAGCTCTTCCTGGCACCATGACTTATCCAGGGCACACTCTGGCTTCAGCAGGCGCAGAGTCACGTGGCTCACCAAGGTGCCTGTACCCAAGAGAAGAGATGCAGCGGGGATGACCCACACAGACACGAAGAATCTGGCCCAGCACAGAGGTGCCATGTCCCTCTGACTTAATAGTAATCAATGCTGCTGTGCCCAAAAGTCCTTAACCTAAACTTCCATTTCCTCTTCATGACAGCACCGAAGGGTAGGCAGGCAGGGAGGTGTCCTGACACTAAGAAATTAAAAGTACGCTGAAAGGAGGCATGAGCCACCCAAGCGTATTCAGCCAAGAGCAAAGCTCTATTCGCATGGTGCTCCCACCTTCCAAGCAGCAAGCCCAGCAGGCAGGTAACAGTTCTGGCAGGCGCCATATGCACCGACTCAGAACCTTTTTCCAGACTCTTTTTTATTTTATACTAGAGGCCTGGTGCACGGATTCGTGCACATTAAAAGGAAATTAGCCGAACCAGTTTGGCTCAGTGGATAGAGCGTTGGCCTGCGGACTCAAGGGTCCCAGGTTCGATTCTGGTCAAGGGCATGTACCTTGGTTGCGGGCACATCTCCACTGGGGGGCGTGCAGGAGGCAGCTGATCGATGTTTCTCTCTCATCGATGTTTCTAACTCTCTATCCCTCTCCCTTCTTCTCTGTAAAAAATCAATAAAATATATTTTTTAAAAAAAAAGGAAATTAATTAGGTGGACTGCGGGGTGGGACTGGGCGAGACGGGCTGGACACACCCTGGAGCCAACCTCCCGAGGTCCCTCCCCAGCTGGCCAAATCTAGGGCAGCACCAGGGCTCAAAGAGCGTCTGTGGAGTGAGCGGGGTCCCTCCGGCAGGTGGGGTCCCTTGGCCTGGCCTGCAGGGATCGGGCCGAAACCGGCAGTGTGACATCCCCTGAGGGGCCCCAGAGTGTGAGACGGCACTCTGCAAAGTTGCTGTCGCTCAGCAGCTCCTGCGTTGAGCGTCTGACCCCTGGTGGTTAGTGTGTGTCATACCTACTGTCCAGTCGGCCAGTCGCTTAGTCGTTTATATATATAGATTTCAATTACGGTTTACATTCAATATTATTTTGTCTCAATTTCAGGTGTATGGCATAGTCATTAGACACTCATATACTTTACAAAGTGTTCCCCTGGTATTTCCAGTACCCACCTGGCACCATACACAGTTATTACACTATTAATGACTACATTCCCTATGCTGTTCTCTACATCCCCATGACTATGTTGTAATTACCAATTTGTACGTCTTAATCTCACCTTTTCCCCCAGTTCCCCAGTCCCCCTCCCCTCTGACAAACATTAGCCTATTTCCTTTCAGATTCATTTTTCCAGAACTCATTTTTCACTCAGACGGTTCTTATTCTAGCCTCACTCATGGGAACGTTCCCTTTAGGCTAGGAAGGAAGTCTGCTCAATTCCCAGCCACCCTACCTGAGCTTTGTTTCACCACAGCGAACAGAAAGCTGAAAACCAGAGACCTCTCATCACTGACACATGGCTGCTCAGGAGCTCTAGGCCCCACTAACTAGCCACATGGCACCAAACCACCCCCACTGCCTCTGACTTTGACTTCCTAGTTTTAAAACTGCTATAGAAAGACCACACTGACTGCCCAGCCGGCATGGCTCAGTGCTTGAGCACTGACCTATGAACCAGGAGATGACGGTTCAATTCCCAGTCAGGACACATGCCCGGGTTGTGGGCTTGATCCCCAGTGGGGGGCATACAGAAGTCAGCTGATCAATGACTCTCATTATTGATGTTTCTATCTCTCTCCCTTCCTCTCTAAAATCAATAAAAATATATATTAAAAAATAATTCTCAATAACAAAGTATTTTTTTAAAAAAAAGATCACACTGACTAACATCTAAACCCTGGGCCTCAGAGTGAAGGCATAGCAGACATAGAACAGGAGAGAGGAGAGGCACCATGTTGGTCCTAAGGCTACTTCCGTATGGGAACAAAAGTCAGTAGCCTAAGTCACCACATGACTCCCCACCAGTGTTCAGGGGCATCCCCCACCCACCTCCCGACCTGCCTGGGGCCATGCTCACAGCCCGCAAACAAGGACTGACCCAAAGCCTTGAGTCGAGGGGGCATGACACAGGCAGCCAAGGACAGGAAAGGGTTCTTGATCCGGGGAGCGGCCAGAGGAGATTTCAGCAAGGGCAGGAAAGAGTCGACCAAAACAGGGATGTACTGGGTCAGGCCAGATGGGTTCTTGGCCAGGATGGTGTCCAGCAGTCCTAGTGCTGCCTCCAGCTCACCGTCCAGCTGCAAGCAGAGTCGCCCCAGGAGGCAGGTCAGCGGGGCCCTGCTCTGGGGCAGCCAGGAGCAGGCCTGGGCTGTCCGGCACACTCACGGACGGACGTGTGGTGGCAGCAGCCACTCACCTCCTGCAGCCGCCTCCGGATCTGCGCCTCCTTGTCCAGCTGGGCCTGCAGCATCTCCTTCTGCTTGCTGGTGAGCTGCACCTCCTCTTTGATGCCTTTCTTCTTCTTTATCTCCTGAAGGCAATGTGCAAAGCAATTCCATCTCCAGGGAACAGACCTCCCTCCCCACCAGAGGGCAAGCTTGGCTCCACAGTCAGTACCATGTCAGCTCTCAGTCTGTGACTGGTGCCCCAAACCCAGCATGTGGTCTCCCCACCTCCCACAAAGTCCACAGCCACCTGGCTCCTACAGAACAGAGAAGTGATTTCTTACTGGATTCTCTACTGATAAACCAAGGAAGGCCTTTTATACGTTAGAGAAATGAAAAGTCCCTCAATGGGCTGAAAAGGGCATTCTGGTCCACACAGCTTCAGAATCAAAACTTCAGCCTCCCCTCCTGCCACACCCCTCCCTACAAACCCTCTCTTCCCCAGTATAAGCTTACAGCTGAAAAAGGCTAAAAAAGCACTCATTCATTCAACAAGTATGGACTGGGCACCTACACTGTGCCAGGCGCTGTTCTAGATGCTGGGGACACCGTGGGGAATAAGCCCAAGTCCCTACCCTCACGGGGCACACAATGTAATGGGTGAAGAAAGATAATGAACATGTAACCAAATATGTAAACAACATGACTTCAGATCCTGGCAAATGTTATAAAAGGGATAAATACGATGCACAGTAACCAAGAAGGGCAGCGTCCACTTTGGATAGGTGGGCAGGGCGGTCACCTCTATGAGAAGCAGACGTGGACATGTGGGCTGAGAAAGACAAGAAGAAGCCAGACTCATAAAGACGGAGGGAAGAGCAAAGGCTCTGAGACAGGAAAGTGCACCACACGTTGTGCAACAAGCTGACTACAGCCTTGAACGATTCCCAGAGGCTGCACTGGGCCAGGCCCTGGGCCTGCTGCTCAGAGTAAAGATGGGTCCCAGCCATCAAGAAATTCAAGCAGCACCAGGGAAGTGTATGAACTGCTGCCAGTACCCAGCAGAGAGAAATTCATTTTCCTTGAGTTTGGGGTGGAGAAAGCTACTGAGAAAAGGTAAACAAAGGACAAGGCAGGAGGACCCAGCATGGGTAGGAGGCATCAGAGGAATGTGCCGTGGGCCTTGGGATGACTGAAGGGAAGGGTGGATGTGCTTCAGGAAATGCCACCAGCCTCAGGGCACCAAGCTCGGCCAGCACCCCGCACGTACTGCGTCCATGTACTCACCTCCTTCAGCTCCAGCTCTATGATCTGCTCCTTAAAGGAATAAGCTTTGTTCTCTCGCTTCATGTTGGCCTTTTTAATGCTGTCCTGCTGGGCACTGAAACAGCAGAGCAAGTGATCAGCCAGCTTCAAAACAGCCGCCAGTCCCTTCAGCCTCCCGCCAGCCATGGCATCCCAGCTAGCTTTTAAGAAGTATGCACCAGGAAAGTGCTGAATACCAGCATGCTCTTGCTTAAGCACGTGCCTGGAACAGAGCAGGCACTTGTCCAAGAAATGGAGGGATGGTTTCATTCATTCTTCACAACAACCCTACACAGGAGGTGTTGTCTCCATCTTCTAGGCAAGAAAAAGTAAGGCTGGTGTCTAATGGTGTCTCACCTCTGGATGATGGATTTGTCGTACAGCTCCCCGGCAGGGGTCTGCATGATGGCAAACTCCTCCCGTGTCACCTGGTGCAGTGCGGGGTTCTGCACAGAGGCGGTGATGGTGCTGATGAGCTGTGGGAGGACCCGGTCCGGGGACAGGAGGGAGAGGGAGCCCATGGCATTCATGGAAGACTGCCAGACAAACACAGACAGTCAGCATGTGCCAAGGCTGGCACTGGAAAGGTGTCCCACCTGCCCTAAGTGCCCCTGGCAACTGACTCTGCTTCTTCTTGTCCCTGCCGGCTTTCTGAGCGATACCCACGGGAGAGGAGAGCTGCCGCAGGTGCCTGCCTTCTCAGCAAGCATTACTGCTTTCCAGGGTGAGCATGTAACCCCGACCAAAAGGACCGGCCCAGGATGAACATAGCACCCAGTCAGGCTGACCAGGGCAGTGAGACCCCATGCCAGTTGAAATGACTGGGAAAGCTCCTTCCACGGGAGCTAATGGAGGACAAGCTGTAAGCCTGGAACTCTAGCAGCTGTCCTACCACCAAAAAGGGGAAAACTACTGGAGAATGGAGCCCACATCATGGGAAGCAGATACAAGACACAAATGAAGACACAGACAGAGAGTAAAAGAGGCACCACCTACGATGTCCTGAGGATGACATCTGAGTTCCTGTCCAGTCAGACCCTGGGATTTAGCAGTTAAATGAGACAGTAAATTCCCTTTTGTGCTCAAACTAGTTTGCATTTTCTATCACTGGCAACCCAAGGGTCCAAACCCACATTTCCTCACACCTCCACCCGTTTCTTTGAATTCCCCTTCCTGAATTGTGACCTGAGGCCAGAACCAACTCACGCGTCAATCACCTGGTTCAGGGGACTCTGTGTGGTGATCCTGGGAATGATCTGATCCAGGTGCCTGGTGATAAAGGCTTCGGGATCAATCTTCATTCTAGCTAGAAGTGCTGGCCAGAGTCCAGACTGCACTGCCACTGAAGGGGAGGGGGGCAAATTGAGGCCTTCTGCTCAGCCCGCTGGTACCTGCCCAATACAGCCCTGCCCCTCCCATACCTGGTACAGCCACAGACCTAAAGATGGGTGATGGGAGATGATCAGCATCTCCTGGGCCAGCTGTTCAGTGTTGCTGATGTCACCCTCCAGCCCTGGCACCCTGGAGATGATGCACAGAGCCTCCTGCAGGACTCGTGGAGGCACATAGGCCTTGCCGGCCTCAGTCACCTCCCCAGCATCAGTCACCAGAGCCTCTAAGGGCAGCACCTGCGTGAAGACAACACATGAGCCCCCACAGCTCAGAGCCCTGTGCAGGCCTTGCACCCAGGGACAAAGCTGCCTCTCGCTCATGTTGTTCTCAGGGGTCCGTGCTAAAGTGGAAACAAGCCCAGCTCCTGCATGGGGACCTGCAGGCTATGAGATGTGCCTGGAAGGAGGAAGCACCCGTGACTTCGCACATAAAAAGCTCAGCGGTTGGGAAAGGAAACAGAAATTGGTCCATGAGACCCAGCCCATGACCACAAGTCTGTCATGGCACCACTACCTCAAGTAGACTCAGAAGGGAGGGAAGCAGGGCACAACATGCACTGAAGTGGGAGTCAGGTCTGCCAGCCACCAGCTTTGACCCTATGCCAGTCATTTCAGCTCCTGGAACCCTGGACAACTCACATAAAAAACGGGCAGTAATACCCTAACTGGTTTGGCTCAGTGGATAGAGCGTCGGCCTGCGGACTGAAGGGTCCCAGGTTCGATTCCGGTCAAGGGCATGTACCTTGGTTGTAGGCATATCCCCAGTAGGAGGTGTGCAGGAGGCAGCTGATCGATGTTTTTCTCTCATCGATGTTTCTAACTCTCTATCCCTCCCTTCCTCTCTGGAAAAAATCAATAAATATATTTAAAAAAAAAAAAGTGGTAAGCCTGTCGGCCTTGTAAAGGCATTGTGAAAAATCAAAGGGAAGAATGAATAGAAAATGCTTTAAAAATTATAAAGTACCTTTAAAATATAGTGTTATTCAATAACTCAAGAATAAAAAGGTTGAGCTACATATGAAAAGGCATGGGAAGAAAGAGTCTGAAAAGGAAAAGAACTGCAGTGGACCCTTGAGGGACATGGGTTTGAACTGCACGGGTCCACTCACATGCAATTGGACTCAGGCAGTTCGACTGCCCACACAGTTCAAACCATGCTGTTCAGTTGTTCAAGGGCCAACTCCACATATGGGAATCCACATATGCAGAGGACTGACTGCAGTGATACTCCAATTTTCAGCTGTGAGGGCAGTCAGTGCCCCAACCCCCACCCTGTTGAAGAGTCAACTGTGTGAACCAGGTGTCACTGGAGCTTAAGGGCAGGAGAGAAGATTCTGGCATCACAGAGTCTGAGTGAGTGAGTGAGTGAGTGAATGAAAACAGCCCAGGAGCAGCCCATCCAAAATCCATGGCAGGAGCAGGGTTGGTGAGGTAGGTCTGAGAGCCTCACCTTGTGAGAACTGAGGACAGCCTTCAGCTCCTCCAGGAGTCCATACGCCAGCTTAAAGCCCCCGGGAGAAGACAGCAGCTTCCGAACCGTCTGCTGGGCCTGCCTACGCACGTGCCAGGTGCGGCTCAGGAGCACGGCCACCAGAGCCCGGTGGTACTGCCTGCGAGGACAGGGACAGACCGTCCTGGCTTTAGAAGGCCGGGCGGAGGTGCTCCACAGCCGGCCCTGCTACACCCCATCCCCGTCTCTCAGGCTCCTGCCAGGGTCCCCTCCGCTGGCCCCAGGGAAAGGTGCCCCAGGGGACAGGGAGGCGAGCCTCACATACTGGACTTTACTGCCGGCGAGTCTGTGCGGGTGGTCAAGGAAAAGCCTCTCGGTCAGATGCAGCACGGTACACAGGGCTAGAAGGGGAGAGAAACAGCAAGTGTGTTTAAAACAGAACACATCCAGAAAGAACTGGACAATGAACACCCAAATGTAAGTGTGATTACCACTGGCTGTGGGATGACAGCGCATTAGGGTTTCCTCTTTTGGCTTACTATGAACATGCGTGTAGAGTAGGAAAAATATACACTTTCTTTCAATTAATTAAAAATGACTATGCAGCCCTAATTGGTTTGGCTCTGTGGATAGAGCATCAGCCTGCAGACTGAAGGGTCCTAAGTTCAATTCCGGTCAAGGGCACATACCCGGGTTGCAGTGTAGAGTAGGAAAAATATACACTTTCTTTCAATTAATTAAAAATGACTATGCAGCCCTAATTGGTTTGGCTCTGTGGATAGAGCATCAGCCTGCAGACTGAAGGGTCCTAAGTTCAATTCCAGTCAAGGGCACATGCCCGGGTTGCAGGCTCGATTTCTAGTAGGGGGTTGGCAGGAGGCAGCTGATCAATGATTCTCTCCCATTGATGTTTCTCTCTCTCCCTCTCCCTTCCTCTCTGAAATCAATAAAAATAAAATAAATAAAAATAAAAATGACTACGCACCTCTAAAAATGAATGAGGACACTCACTATATGCTGACGTGGAGTGATTTCCAAGTCTAGATAGCACATTGTTTATAGTAGGCAAGCAACCACTTGTGCAAAAAAGTAGAGAACTAACATATAAAAGATATTTATTTACTGGTACAGAAATAAAATATCAAGGATGCACAGAAGCTAATAAAACTGGTTCTCTCTATGGCCAGGAAACTGGGCGGCCAGAGAGCAAAGTAGGGAATATAAATTTCATTGTAGATCCTCTTGGATCTTTTGTTTTGAATTATGTAAATGTATTTCCTATATAAAACCTTTTTAAATCAAGAAGTGACTAACAATTATAGCTCACTAATAGGATGTTGTGATTTATGAGTCAAAAGACTTTCAAATCACCAATTAGCGGCAGAGCCCCGCAAGGCGACCCAGAATTTTAAACATACATTTAAAGATCAACTGTTCCCTCTCTTCCAGGATAGAAACCAGTAGTTTCTGTGTCTCCTGGAGGGACGTGGAGTCAACCAGAGCTTCGCACTGCTTCTTAATGCAGGAAAACCTCTGAGACAGCACCAATTACCCAATCAGCTATAATTACACCTAATATCTCAGCTCCGCAGCCTCCAGTGCTGTCTCCACAAATCTCCCACTTCTCCCTATTTCCATAAACTGCCCCCGCCCCCCCCACAGGAATGCATGCATTCCCAGGACAGCACAGCCAAGGTCCTGGACAGACCACTTTGGTCCACGTTTCTGCAAAGCAGGCAGCCAAGGAGGAGTCTTCACTGAGGACCCTCCAGTGAGAGAGAGATTCAGTCCCAGCCTTGAGTCCACGCAGGGGTGGGAACTCACCATCCTCTGAAGCCAGGAGCAGGAACTTCTCAGAAGTGAAAATCTGCTTCTTCTCATCCACAATCAGCTGCCAGAAATTGCTCAGCTTGGCCTCTGCCAGGAACAAAAGGTCACCTGTTGGCACAACTTACCAGTCCCCCAGGGCTGGTCCCCTCCATCCTGAAGCTGCCAGGCTGCTTGGCTAACAGGCCCTCCACTGCAGGGACAGGTCACTGCGAGGCTCTCTGCCCTCCCTGGCCTGATAACAGACCAGTCCTTCCGGTATCACCGCCCGCATGAAAGCCTTCCGTGGCTGCCTGCGGCCCAGGGAAGCCCAGATGAGCTGCGTCCCATCTGGAATTCCCACCTCGTCTGCGCCAGGTGAAAGGCTTGAGGTTCACACATGGGGCTTTCCTTGCCCTTCCATGAATAGGGCTGGTCTGAACCCACACTGGACTATTCCCGTCCAGCGGGTGAAATCCCTCCTGGCCTTCCAGGCCCTAGTTCAAATGCTCCCTCCTTTATGAAGCCTTTTCTGATACCCAGTCCTAAACTAAAAGCAATCCCTCCTTCAAAACAGCATTAATGCCACATTTTGCTTGAAATGACAGACATCTTTTTGCATCTCCTCTCTCCCACTAGAGTGAAACAGCCTGGTATTTGCTGAAGCGAGGTCGTCCCCCCAGGGAGCCCAGTGCCTTGGCATGCACACAGATGGCACACAACACTGTAAGAAGAGAGCCGAGCTCCGTTCCCAACCACAGGAGTAAGTTCAGGCATGTCTGCATGCAGAGTAGAAGGTAAACTAAAGAAAGCACGGAATACCATGTAGCCCAAAAAAGAATGGGAAGGCTCTTTTTGTTGTACTCATTTGCAAATTTTTCCAAGTTATGTTTAGTACATAACATGGCATATACTAGTACAGCATGTTACCCAGCGTGTTTGATCAATGACAAATTGACAAGATGAAACTGGTAATACTGCCCAGCGAGGGGAACTTAGTGGCTGGAAGACGGGCTGGCTAGAGGGAAGCTTTCCATGGTACACCGTATGAATGTATAACCAATTTAAAAAAAAAGTCCCACTACTAAACCCAGGTTAGCCTGGGCATTATCAACAAGAGCCCGTCCCAGAGCATTGGGGCCACAGCTTGGAGGGCAGTGACAGAGGCCCTGGCTGAATTCCCATCACCCAATGTGACTCTTAGGCTCTTCCCAGCAGATGACAAGCTGCCGTGTGGCTGACCCAATTCAGTAAGTGGCCAAACTGAGCCTATAAAATCCTAAACATCAAAACACTCCTCCCAAGGACTCAGAAAGAGGCCACTGTCTGCGACCTTCCTGGACATCTCTTGACTCTTACCAGCCTGGGAGTCGGCCACTGAAAGCTTCGAGAGCAGCAAGGCTGCGGCAACACCTTCGGTGACTGTGGGGACCTGAGTGCTTTGGGAAGCTGCCTTCTCCACTGTCTGGATGAGCAAGGGTAGTAAGTCCAGGGCCTGCAGCAGCGTGTCACCTGTGGAGAGAGCACCAGCACCTTACGGAGTACCCTAACTCTTGGGAGTGACAAGCTACTCCAGGAAGGAGTCACCCACCCAGGTCTGAAGTGGCTAACGAAACCCCTCAGCTACCTTGTGAAATACCAGGAAGAACTGGGATCAGAACCTGGGCTTAAATCAAACTCCACAAACATCGATTTAGAGCTAAGAGGATCCTTACTAACCCAACAGTGCAGCTATTTATTTGATGTATAAAGAAACAGACCGAGAGAGGTTAAGTGAGTTGCCCAAAGCCACACAGCTGGTCTGAGAGAGAGCCAGGGCCAACCTCAAGCCTACCAATTTGTTTCCAGGGCTCTTCCCCCATACCAGACGACCTCTGAACCCAAATTCCAAAACTAGAACCAAACTATTGACCAGTGAACTAAGCCCACTTAAAAAAAAGAAGTAGAAATCTGTAAAACCTATAGCTAAACCCGTGTAAGTACTAAACTGGTATATCTGAACATTTCATAATGAAACAAGTATTTCATCCAGATGATGTCATGGACTTGAATCCAAGAAATGTTTATTTCAAAGGTTCATTATGTTTATTTTAAAAGCATAGAGCAGAACTAGCTCAAGCTGAAGAGACTAAGCTAAACAAGTCTCTGCTCAATCTCAAATCAAGGCTGATCAATGCAGCAAAATTGCAACTGACAAATGAACATCCCCTCTCTAGAGGTGGCTCTGGAATCTCCCAGATGTTTCTTTTTTAATATATTTTTATTGATTTCAAGAGAGGAAGGGAGAGGGAGAGAGATAGAAACATCAATGATGAGACAGAATCATTGATTGCTGCCTCCTGCACACACCCTACTGGGGATCAAGCCCACAACCCGGTCATGTGCCCTTGACTGGAATCGAACCAGGGACCCTTTAGTCCGCAGGCCAATGCTGTATCCACTGAGCAAAATCTGCTAAGGCTCCCAGACGTTTCTTTAAACACAGCTCACCCCTGTTCAAACTTTCAAAAAAAGAAAATATAAGCCTATCTTAGAGGCGGAAACCAATATTAGAGATTTTTACCTGGAGATCAAGCTCCTATACAGATTGGAAAGCTTCCCCTGGCTGTTTGGGAAGGAGGTGGATGCCCGTGCCCAATGACAGGTTGGTCAGCACTGAAGCAAGGCAGGGCTTGTGGGTAAAGAGTAAAGTTTATATAAACTGCACCTTTTAAAGCAGTCCCATCAAAATCATTCCTTCATGATTTCAGAAATATAGTGTCAGGTTCTGGTTCTGGGTCCTCCCGGAATAAAACTTTGTCCTTAAAGATCTAATAGGAGGGCCCTGACCGGTTTGGCTCAGTGAATAGAGTGTCAGCCTGCGGACTGAAGGGTCCCAGGTTCGATTCCAGTCAGGGGTATGTACCTTGGTTGCGGGCACATCCCCAGTAGG